GCTGCCCCGACGTCGTCTGGCGCGGGGGCGTCTTCCGCGGGCACGTCCGCGTCCTTCGTGCCCCCCTTGGCGAACCTCTTCCGCTGGGTCTCCACCAGGTCCTTCAGCTCGTCTGCGTCGAGGTCGCGCAAGGCCCTGAACGGAGCGAGGACGTCTTCCTTCAGAGCGCGGGCTGCGCGCCGCGACGCGTCGGCGTCAGTCGGCCCGGGCAGCGCTCCGTTCTCCATCATCGTGGCGGCCTTCTTGAGCTCCCTCACGAAGGCCTGCGTGCGCTCGGCGGTGTCGAAACGCAAGATCTGCCCGAGCGTCTCGGGGTCGAAGTGATGCTCCAGGACAACGTTGGCGCCCAGCTTCGCGAAGCCGTCCTGAGCGCGGATGCCCTGGGCCTCCATCTGCGCGGCGCCCGCCCCCGAATCCTCGGCGCCCTCCCGGAACACGGGGGCCTCCGCGACGTGCGCGTCGTCCTTCTGCGGCCTCTTCGGCTTCGAAGCCTTCGCCTTGGAGATGCCGTCGAAGTTGGCCGCGGTCTTCGTGGTCTCCAGGGCCAGGTACTCCTGCACCGTCAGCATGCTGTCCAGCCAGTTGCCCAGCTCCGTGCACTGGGCGCACCGGCAAGGAGGCTGCACGTCCTCGCGGCGGTCGCTGCGCTTTTCGCGCAGCGCGGACTCGACCTCCCCCGTGTTCCAGATGCTGGGCGTCGCCCACGACCCGACGTCATTCCTGAGGCACTTCGCCCGGGCCGTCTTCGCCAGTTGCTCCTGGGCGGTGGCGAACGTCTCCCAGCCGCGCTGGAACGGGCCCGCGACGCCCTCCCCCGCCGGCTGCGCCGGCCACTCCGGCTCGCCCTCTGGCGCCGCGCACAGTTGCTCGTACGCGCGGAGGTAGCGCAGCTCCTTCGTGTCGTTGGGCCCGTCGGCGTCCGGCAGGTGCACTGGCCGGAGCAGCACCGACTTCATGAGATAGTGCGTCTCCACGTTCGACTCCGCGCTCACGAACTGGAAGCCGTCGGCCTTCGGGATGCGCGGCTCGACGGCCAGCCTCTGAGTCCAGTTCCGCGCCGCGGAGTAGGACGAGTCGAAGGCGATGTCGACGTGCAGGGTGCGACCCCCGCTGCCCTCGGGATCCAGCTCCCCGGCCGGAAGGGCGTGCAACGGCAGTTCCACGCGGTGCACCCAGATGCTGTAGACGTACAAACTCATGTCTCGGACAATAGGGTGGTCTCCGCGGTGCATCCAGTCGTCGTGCTGGCTCAGCACTGCGCCCCTGAACTTGCCCTGCGCGAGGCCCTCGACAGTCGGCCCCGGTGCCTCGGGCACCTCTTCGGCCTCGCCTTCCCGCATCTTGTTCAGCGCCTTCGTCACGTCGCGCAGCGAGCCGCCGCTGGCGTTCGCGATCTGGAACGCCTGGTGCGCGTACTCGATCGTGTCGAACTCCTCGCCGTCGGGGCTGACGTACACCGTCTCGCCCTCGCGCTGCACCTCGCGCCACCCCGGCATCGCGACCTGCTGTCCAGTGCTGGGGACCGCGTACGTGATCGAGGCGGCGGGCGCGCTTTCCGCGGTCTCGGCCTGGCCGTATCGCCTGCGCCAGGACTCCGCTGCCAGGTAGATGGATTTCCGCATGAACACCTTCCAGCAACGGTGCGTCATGAAGGAGAGGTGCCCGAAGAGCATTGGGAAGACCATCTCGCTGCCGCTCTTCCAGGAGGCCCTGCGGAAGCAGGTCTCGAAGCGGGCCAACACCTGCAGCGTGCGCTTGAAATCCTCCTTGCGCTTTCCTGCGGCGGTCGACTGGGCCTCGTCGCCGGCGCCGCCCGCGGCCTGCGCCTCCCTGTCGTCCCACTGGCTCTTCAGGCGGCGCACGCCGTCGAGGAGCTTGCAGAGCACGTCGTCCATGCTGGGGTTCACCTTCGTGGTGTACGAGTTCACGTAGTAGCTCGTGTTGTGGGCGTCCACGAAGGTGGCCAGCGCGTGCCGCTCCAGGTCGCGTTGGAGATCGGCGCGCGCAGCGTCGCCACCGTCCATGGCGGGGCTGTCGCGGTCCGCGAGCTCCCTGAAGATCTCGTGCCAGTCGGTGACTACGACGAGGTCCCACTTCTCCGCGGACGTGGTGTTCAGATGCTGGAACCATCCCCAGTCCTCCCGAGCACCCACCGAGAAGTCGGCGTAGCGCTGAGGGTAGAGGCCATGGTTGTAGCTCTTGCGGTCCTCCTCGTTCGCCGGCGGTTCCAGCTCGGACGCATCCATCCACAGGCGCGGGGGCAGCACCCGTCTCATGTCCTGCACGTCCACGTTGCACCGCGCCGAGACGACCGCCGCGTACTTCGTCGAGGTCTCCCCGGGGTGGAGCTGGAAGGTGACGATGCGCCCGGCCATGCCGTAGTCCGTCTCCCGGAAGATGCCGATGCAGCCGCGCAGAGCCTTCCCACGCGTGCGGAACCGGCACTCTTGGGAGCCCCCCCCCTCGGGCCACGTACACAGTGTCACCAGATTGTAGAAATTGTGGCGGCAGATCTGCGAGCCGCGCGTCTTGTCGGAATGGTACTTGTAGCAGGAGGGGCTGCAGACGTGGATGCCGCAGCCGATGACGAGCTCGCGCGCGTCACGGCACATCTCGCGAACCCACTCGTCGCTCGGGAGAGACTCCGCCAGGGTGCCCCCGCCGCGGTACCTCGGGAAGATGCCGGAGGCGCTGCTGGAGAGCGGCCGCCGCCAGTACCCCTTGTTCTCCGCGGCCCTCTGCTCTGTCCACGCCGCATCGCCGTCCACGGCCTCGCCGTCGTTGTTGCGCAGCGGCAGATCGGGCCGAATCGCCCTGTGGTAGACGTCTGCCTTGGGCTCGTAGAACCACAGCTCCTGCGGCTCCGTCTCGCCTTCGACCCCGAGCTGCTCTGCAGTCGCCATCTCCGCGCCCCCGTCGGCTCTGAAGTACCGCTTCTCGTTGGGCCCGAACGGCAGCGGCGGCACCGCGACCCCGCACTTGTTCTCGCCTCCCTGCAGCTGCAGGGGCAGCAGCTCCACGGCGCTCTGCTGAGTGGCGACCACGGCCTGCACCACCTGCCGCATCCACAGGTTCAAGCGCTCCTGGAAGCGCGCCTCGTCGCGCTGCAGCATGTCCAAGAGCACGCGCAGCTGACCCTGCAGCAGCCAGATGAGGATGTGCGGGTGCAGCGAGCCGCGGCCCTGAGCCTCGACCGGACCGAAGGCCGCCGCCAGGGGGCCGAACACCGTGGGCACGCCCATGAGGTCGGCCGCCACGCCGTCGGAGATCCAGTGTTCGGAAGCCTTTCGAACTTCTCCTCGCCGCCACCCGACGGTCTCCGGGCGCATGCCGAGGACGTGGACGAAGAACAGCCTCATCATCAGCTCGAACACCACGGCCTGGCCCACGGGGTCCGCGGCGATGCGCTGCGACATCTCGCTGAACGTGACTTGCTCCGCCTCGGTCAGGTCGTTGCCGAAGGTGTACTCCTCCCCCTGCACGATGAGGATCAGGGGCTGCTTGGTGTCTGCCAGATTCGGGGTGACGAACTGGACGGGCGGGCCGAAGCGCAGGGTATACGCCTCGCCCTCTCCGCGCAGCTCCCGCCTGTGTCCGTCGGACCCGACTTGACTGGCAGTGGCCTGGCCCAGGGTGGCGAAGGCCTTGCGCACCTCGTTCGGGGTGTCCTTGTCCTTGAGGATGCCGTGCAGCGTGGCCTTCCCGCCCGTTTGCTGCACCCTGAGCTGCACCTCCTCGATCATCTCCGGCGTGATGTCCGCGCAGGCGCGAGCGGCCCCGAACGCCCCGGGCGTCTTCATGAAGGTGTAGGTGCTGTTGGTCGTCTCCGTGACTCTCCAGAAGGAACACAGCAGGTGCACGTCGTACCAGGAGCTCCGGAAACGATTGATGGGCCTGGCCACGTACTTCTCCTCGTCGGCAGGCACGTCGTACTCCATCTCCTCCCGCGTGAGAAGATTTTTGATGAAGTGCGCCACGCTGAAGCAGAGCCGACCCTCCTTCTGCTTCTGCGGGTCCTCGTCTCCGTCTGGGGGGAGCTGGCCGAGGCCCCAGGCGCAGTCCCCGTAGCAGAAGTCCGTGGGCCTGGCAATGGACCAGTACTTCGGATTCCACCAGCTCTCCGCCTTCCTCGAAGTGGGCACCCGAAGCCTCGCCTTTCGCTGGCCGTCGGGGCCGGGCGGTCCCTGCAAGGAGCGCGGGTCGTCCTCGGCGGGAGTCCCCGCGGCTCCTGCAGGTCGCGCCGGGTCGCCCACGCCCTCCCCCGCCTGGCAGTTGTTCGTCTCCAGCGCCTGGACGCGCCAGTGCAGCTTCGCCATGTCCTCCCCCGGGGAGATCTTCCGACAGCGCGCGTGGAACTCCTGGCAGAGGTCCCGCAGGCGGTGACGCCCGATCTCGTCCAGCTGCAGCGCCCTATCCTCGCCTCTCTGGTCCTCGAGCCTGGACATCAGCTCGTTGGCCACCACGCGCCCCGCCTGACTCTCCATCCTCTCGAGCATGCCCTGGAGCGCCGGCAGGGACGTGAGCTCGCTGACGTCGTCCATGTGGTCCTCGAGGACGGACAGCCACTTGGTCAGCTCTTGCGCGTCCTCGGCAGCCGCGCCCATCTCGGCCTGCGCGCCAGCGGTGGCCGAGGCGGGCCCCTGCGCCTGCGCGATGTCGTCCAGCGCCGCGTCCGTGGGGACATACTTCGCGCAGGCCAACATGAAGTCGGGCACGTCCGGCTGCGGGGGGAACCGGTCCACGAGGTCCGATCGGTACTGCACGCCCGGGTCATTGTACACGTAGTTGTGCTGCTTCAACAACCGCGCCTGGGCGTCGTATTCCGCCTTGTCGACGTGCAGCGCCACCTCCTCCCTCATGGCTCTCAGGGCCCTCTCCTGCTTCTGCTCCTCGGTCATGGGGATGCCCTCCTCATCATCGCCGGCGCCCGCGAATACGGCCACGAACGTGTCCCTGAGCATGTCGGGCTCCGGCGGGAAGCTCCGCATCGCGTGGTCCACGTTCCCGTTCCCGAACACGATGGCGGTGCCCTGCATGGCGTACTGCAAGAACTTCTGTCTCCACGACTGCTGCTCCTGCCGGACGGCCTTGTCGGCGCCCTTGCTGGACAAGTAGATCTTCGTGGACACGACGCGGCCGAGCGCGAGCAGCAACTGGTGCGCGAGAGCGGCCTTCCTGAGCATAGGGTGGTGGCGGCCCAGCCAGAGGTCGTTTACTAGCGCCATCAGCGGCACCTTGGGGTGATCAGACCACAGGTCTCTCCGGCAATCGTCGCACACTTTCACTGGCACCTTCCCTTCGAGCGCCTCTGGCGGCACGCGCCTCTTGTGCAAGAGTACCTTCGTGGACGTCGGCGAGCCCTCGCAGTCGTTGTGGGGGAAGTCCACGGCCGACGACATCAGCTCGTCGCGCGGTATGAGGGGCCATCGTTGGTGATACCACTCGGCCGACAGGCAGTCCGCGAACTGGGCTCGGTTCTTTATGGTGCACTTGTCGCCGACGAGGTACTCCGAGTGGAGGTTCTCGGACCACTGCTGCATGGCGCAGCAGACGCAGGCCTGGAAAGCGCGGGGCTCCCTCGCCTGACACGCCGCCTGAGCTCGGGCTGCCGACTCCGCCGCGCCGGCCGCCTGCAGGGAGATCTCCTCCGCGGGCCCCCCCTGACCGATCTTGCCGATGATCCTGCCGACGATCTCCGCGTGGAGCAGCTGCTTCTGCACCTCCGATTCGGGCTTCGGGACAAACGGCTCGTCCACGGGGTCGACGGTGGCGCAGCACTGGGAAATGTGGAACCTGGCAACCACCTGTAGCGATGGCGGGGAGCACCGCCCGACCCCCAGCGCTCTCGATGCCCTTATCGCTGGCGCCGGGAACGCCAGCGCTAAGGGCACGTCACCGGGGGCTGGGCGCAGTTCCCCGCCGCCCGCTCACCTGGCGCTCCTCGGTCGGCGACGGCTGGTAGGGCTCCAGCTCGCACCGCGCCACATACTGCGACTGGTACCACCGCTGCCCCCCGTGGACTCTGCCCTGGTGCGCCTTGAACGCCTCCCTGTTGGGGAACTCGGCCTCGCACATGCGGCAGGCATAATGCAGCGCAGGCGCGGGGCACTGGAACCACTCAGAGCGATCCCGAAGGCGCGCAGGCATGGCCGAGTGCCGGGGCGGGCCGCGGTTGCAGGGTCTGCGCTGCCACGCATCGGCCAGGTGCGCCCTCAGCGGGTTGCCGTCGCCCTGCGCGCCCGGCCCGTCGCCCACGGCCAAGCGGACCGCGGCCGCCACGGAGTGGGCGCTGTGGGCGGAATTCAGACGCTCGTCCAGGAGCTCCGCGACGTGGTGCACGTGCCACTCCCCGCTCTCCAATCGGCGCTTGGCGTCGGAAATCTCTCTCTCCGTGACCCCGAGCGCCTCCCGCAGCCTGCCAGCCAACTTGCCAGGCCGATCGGGGGCGCGCAGGAACGTCGCCCATCGGTTGGCGCAGTCGTCGCCCGCGTAGACGAAGAAGTCCGGGTAGTGCTTAAGGAGGTCGTCGGTGGCGGCCAGCGGCTCCAGGAGGTGCAAGAGCAAGAACAGGTCGCCGCACTCCCGGCGCGCGTCGCACGCCGCCTGCAAGCCCTTCGCCTCCCTGCTGCTGCGGAGGACCGGGGCGGCGGCGTTGTTCTGGGCGTCCTGCCGGGACCCGTCGGCGTTGTCTCCCTTGCTCTTCGGCTTCCGCCCCTGCCGGAGCACCTCCTCCGGCTTGAAACCGCGCTTCTGGTCCTGCCGACCGTCCCGGTTCTGCTGCCTCTCCTGCTGCCTCCCGGCGCGGCTCTGCTGCTTCTCCTGCTGCCTGCCGGCGCGGCTCTGCTGCCTCCCGGCGCGGCTCTGCTGCCTCCCGGCGCGGCTCTGCTGCCTCCCGGCGCGGCTCTGCTGCCTCCCAGCCACGCTCTGCTTCCGTCGGAGGCGGAGCCGCTTCTTGGGAGGGGCGCCGCTCCTCGCGGCCGCCGCGGGCCGCTTCCGCGCGCCCAGCCCGCCAACGTCGCCGGCCCCGCCACCCTCGTCCATGTCGGACGCTCCGCCGAGGCCAGGGCTGACCTCGCCGTCCGCGTCGCCGTCGCCGTCGTCGCCCGCGCCCTCCGCGCCGTCGACGACCGGCCCGGGCGGCCACGGGCATGCCTCGGCGCGGGCCGCCCTGGAGTCCACCTTCTCAAGGAAGATCATGCAAGGTATCTTGTGCTCGGTGCCAGGCGCCCACTGGACCACGTGCGGCCGATCGCCCAGGTCGTCCGCAGTGTACCAGCTCCCGTCCTTCTCGAAGTGGGCCACGAAGTGGCCCTGCGGGTCACTCAGGACGTGGGATGGGATGACGTCCGATCCCTCGGGCAGGATGTACTGCACGTAGGCGCGCAGGCGGTATGCGACGTCTTCCCCCACCGCCCTCAGAACCACCTCTGGGAGCTCGCTCCAGTAGGGCGCGATGTCGCAGCTGCCGAGGAAGAGCGCCGTGCCGTCGCCTCGCTCCCATCTCTGGGGCACGTGGACCGCCAGCAGCTCGGGCTTCGATCGCAGTCGCCCGCCCATGGAGACGCCGCGGCGGAGCAGCTCTCGCGCGTCCAATCTCTGGGCGCCCCCGTCGAGGAAGAAGTCCTGCGGCGACAAGGCGTCGTCGCCGTCGTCTGCCCCGTCCACGAAAGCTGGCAGCCTCAGCATGACCTCCTCGCCGCATCCTGTCTGGAAGAGACGGCGGAGACCCTGCGTGTCATCCACGACGAACGACAGCGCCTCGCTCGCGTCCCCGTGCCTCCCCAGCCTGAAGTCCACCCAGTGCATCTCGAGGAACGCGTCCAAGAAGGCGTGCGGGGACCAGCGGTCCACGCGGGCGGGCGCGGGCACCGCGCCACCGACGTCCTCCGCGGGCAGCGGCGCTCCGCGCACGCAGGCGCTCGCCAGGGCGCGCAGCTCCTCGAGAGGGGGGGGTGAAACCCCTGACGTGTGCCCCCCGTCCCCCGCGCCGCGGCGCACGATTCGCCTTCCTCGCCTTGCGGGGGGAAAAGCTCCAGCGTCTGCCAGGGGCCGTGCCTGAACGAAGACAATAACGAGCTTTCCCCTGCCGCCCCCCTCATAAGGCTGTCTTGGAGAGCATCTTGGACCGTCTTGGATGCCAGATAGAGCCATCCTGGCCGTCTTGGAGGCCATCCTGGCCGTCTTGGAGTCCATCTTGGCCGTCGTGGAGTCCATCCTGGGCCATCTTAGACGTCTTGGAGGCCATCTTGCACCGTCTTGGGGCCCTCTTGGGGGCCTCATGGGATCATGGGACATGTCTTTAAATATCAACGCGTGTGCGCGCGCGGCATAATTTGACAGGGATGACGGGGGGGTCGATACTGGTTTGGCTGGGATGGTGCTCTCCCTCCTCCATTTCCCTTATGCCTGGCTCCTCCCGTACCTTCTTCTCCTCCCTCCCATGCGTCCTGACCTTTCCCTCCACCCACCTCTCTCCTCTCACCCCTCTCCTCTCTCCCCCATTCGAGATCCTCCGTCCTGCGCCATTCCCTTCTCCCCCCGCCTGCCCTCTTCTCCGCTCCTCCTCCTCCTCCTCCTCCTCCTCCTCCTGGCGACGACGACAACGACGACGACGACGACGACGACGACGACGACGACGAAGACGAAGACGACGACGACGAGGATGAGGACGACGACGACGAGATTTCACCCGGCGTCCTGCACAAGCAGCGGTTCGCCCTCGCACTCCGCCCCCAGGAGCGCGGCGCGCGCGGCGGGGCAGTGGAGCAGGCACTGCAGGGGCGCGTTGAGGTAGCAGGTGTTGAACAAGTTCGAGAAGCCCGGGTACGGGTGCTGGCCGCCGCGAGATCGATGCAGGGCAGGCTGCCTCCAACGATCCTCGTCGTGGACGTCGTTCCCCTCGCACCAATGCTGGTGCAGCATTAGCAGCGCCTGCTCTGCGCCCTCGGCTCGCTCATCCCCCAGCTTCGACTCCCGCTCGGTCTGCAGCAGCGCGTCGATGCGCTGCTTCAGGATCAGGGCCGCTGGCTGCAGCCTGGTCGACCGCTCCCACCTCCGCCACCTCCGCGCCAAGTCATTCTCGAGGCCCTTCCTGGACTTGGAGCGCCGCGGAAAGCGGCCCCGGTCACTGTGCCAGGCCAGAACGTCGTGGAACGTCGCGGCCGCGACGTCCCGTCGGCCTTCCGCCGTCCGAGGAGTCGGGCCCCGGCTGCGCGCCGCCCTGGGAGTCTGTTGGGGGCGCCTGCCCGCGGCCGAGGCGCCTGGCGTCTGAGGACCCCCAGTCTTCGGGCCCGATGCTGGAGTGCCGGCGGCGGCTCTCGGCGCTGGGGAAGGGCGAGGCGACGGTCCTCGTTTCCCAGTCATTCGGCGCCGAGGGGGCGCCTCCAGCTGGCGCCGTGGCGTTTGGGGGCCCTCCCCTGGGGCCTGCGCGTGCTCTGCTTGCAAGCGGCGGAGCTCCGCGCGCTGCCCCGTCTCCGGCATCCTCGCGAGGCGAGCCTTATCCGCTGTGGCCGCGGCCAGGTCGTCGCGGTCAGGACCGTATATGCAGGGCTCGCCTGCGGCCCGCAGCCGCACGCGGAAGGTCACTGCCCCACCCCGCTCCCTCTTGACCACATTGATCCGGCATCTCGCCCCGCTGCCTTTCGGCGGCATCCGCGCGGGGCCCCGATGGCGCGCGGCGATGGCCCGCTCGTGCGAGCCAGAGTCCCCCCGACTCGGGAAGGTCGTCCCGCGCGGGGAGTCCCGTCCACGAGCGGGGGTCGTCCGTCGAAGATGGCGGTGGGCGCGCGGCGGCGCCTGCTCGGGCCTCCATGTTTACGGACACGGAAGGGGGGGGGGGAGTTTGCCGGAAATCTCAGGGCTCGACCCAGACCCCGCTTCTTTCAAAAACAACAAACTTTTGACACAAAGTTAGCGGAAGGGGTCTCCTCTCTCCCAGGTGCCGTCGTGCACTGCTCTTGCCTGACTGTCCTGCGGTGGCCCGAGCCCTGACCGCCGTCGTTTCGTGCATCTTTCCTTCCCTAATCGCTCTCCCCTTTTTTCTCCTCGCGACCCGACGGCGGCGGCCCCAGGCAGAATAACGCGCGGAGTCCCCGCGACGCGCGCCGGGCGTCCCGCAGGAGTTCCGGCGACGCGCGCAGGTCGGCCGCGCTTCGAGGCAAACGTCTACGCAATCGGCATGCGGCTAACCTCACGCGAGCGGCCGCGCTGCCCATCCTGGCGAAACTCCAGGGACACGCGGAGGTCGCTCACCACGGGTGGTTGAAAAGGTCGGCAGCTAGACACAGCAAGGCGGCAGGCAGACGCACGGGCCCCCCTGCGTCGCGGACAGAGGGGTAGAAAAAAACTGCGTGGGCGAAAACAGGTGAGGAGTCCCCCCGACGCGTGACGGTCGCCCACCCGAATGGGATCCCATCAACGCGCGAGGGTCGTCCTGGGCGTCGACTGACGCCGCGCGGCGCGCGCGCCTCACCGCAGGGCCGCGGCGCGAGGAGAAAGGGCGGGGAGGCTTCCCGGCGAGGCCCTACTCCGGCGCCGGCCGCCAGCGACGCGCGGGAGATGCGATCTCGGGCGGCTGGCCCGCGCCGGCCAAGTAGCTCTCGACCTCCACGAGGCTGTTGAAGCCCCTGCTGATGGCCGAGGGGTCGTCCGCGCCTGCACCGTCCGTGACGAGCGCCTTGAGGTGCGCCACGGCCGTGACCACGCTCGGGCCCAGCCCGCCATGCCGCGCCGCCGGGCGCAGGACCACGTAGCACTTGTTGTGCGGCAGGGGCATCGGGACGTCCACCAGATCAGAGCGGTCGCCCACTGCGCGCCCGGCATCCACGCTCCCGAGCCAGAAAGCCCTACGGAGGCGATCTTCGGCCGACGGCAACGGCGGGGCCATGTGGAGGCACTGGGCGCGCCAGCGGATGCGCTCGGGCAGCTCCTCGAACGGCGGCGGCCCCGGTGGCTCCGCGGCGCCCGGCCCGACCACTGCGCTCGGCCCCGCGGCGGCGGAGGGCGGCCGCGCCGCCTCGCCTCCGCCGTGCCCCGCGCCCTGCTGAGGCGTCGCACTGCGCAAGGGCACCCGCAACAAGACCGGGGACCCGTCCTCGTAGACCACCTCCGGGTTAAGGCCAAAGCCGGTCAAAACTGAAACGATGTCCTCGAGGTGCGGGGACGGCATGGCGCCTGGTCTTCCGCGGGTTGTCGGCGGGGCGCGCCGGCTGAGGCACTCGCGGGCTCGAGCAAGACGAAAGCCTCGACAGGGGCCCCACGAGGCCTGCTCCACGACGGCCCCACGGGCGCCTGCAGATTAATGCCGGTTTGACCGATGTGCTCCAGGATGGCCCCAAGAGGCCAGCCAAGATGTCCCCAGGCAGGGAGAGCCCGAAATAGGCTGCACTGTACCTATGGATGGCAAAGTCCGGGAGATTTCCATTGCGGCGCAATTGCCAGACCTACTCGTTTGGCGCTAACACTGTTTGCCGCTTTATCGCGTGTCCGCCCCCTGCGCCGTGATCCCCCGACCGTCTCCTAATCTCCCCTGTGCGTTGCGTCCCTGCCCGCCTCTCCCGCGGTGACCTAAACCCGGGCGCCGCCGTGTCGTGTCCGCCTCCTTCCTCCCTTCCTTCTTCTCTCCGCACCTCCAGAGATCCCGCTCCAAGCCGGGCGCGCATTTGTGGTTGCCTTGCAGGGCGAGGGCGAGCGGCTGCGGGCGCGCGGCAAGGGCGCTCCGATCGGACTGTGGAGTCCCGTCGACGCGTGTCAGTCGCCCCCGGAGGAGGGTCCTGGCAACGCGCGAGGGTCGTCCACAATACTTAAACTCTTGCTGCAGGACGCTGCCCTACCAGTGGAAGTCCAGGACACGCGGCGCATCGGCCGCTACTCTGGGCCACGAAGCTAGATAATGCCCTGCCGACTGCAAAATACGCCCTCCAAGGGGGGGAAATATGTCTTGGCCAAGGCAGCGGGCAGCGCGGGGTGGAACAAAGCAGCGCTCTGCGCCGCTAGCCTATGGGCACGTCGACCAGCCTGAGATCGCCCCGACGCGCGCCGCTCGCCCTCCAGGGAAGGATCGCGGCGACGCGCAGGGCTTGCCCGGGCGGCCTGCCGAGCACCCGCGCCATCCTGTCACGCCGTGGGCCCAGCGAGCGTCTTGCGGACCTTCCACAGCGGCGGGGAGGTCACGTTCGCCGCCTCGGCCGCGGTCAAGACCTTCGTCGGCGTCGCGTCGAAGCCCGCTGAGTTGGACGAGCCAGCGGCCGCCGAGTCCTCGCGGCGGCGCGCGCAAGGGGGCAAGGCCAGGGGGGCGGCCCCCTCTGAGAGCAGGGGGCTTCGTGAAAGCACTCCCGCCCTCCCGGACAACTCATTGGAAGCCTCTTGGGCCATCCAGGAAGCGCTCTGCATTCCACGAAGCTCCTCGCCTCCCTGGGCCCTGGGAGCCCCCCCCCCCCGCGCTGCCCCCTTCCGCGAGCCGCCGAGTCCTTGCACAGCTCCACCTCCCTGGCGAAGAACCTGCCGAAGGCGTCGAAGCTCTCGCCCGGCACCGGCAACATCGCGATCACCCCGATGACCTCCGTCGACCTCCACGCCAGGAGCACGTGCGCGGAGCTCCTCTTCTCGGCGCTGCCGAGGGCATGCGCCATGGAGCCGTCTCCGTCGACCTCCAGCCTGTACTTGAGCGCCTCCACCCCGGCGTCGAGGGCGCAGTTGACCTCGCGCGCCGTGCGGCCGTCTGCGCCGAGGCCGCCGGCGTCGTCTGCGAACGTCACGAGGGCGCGGAACGACTCGTACGCGTTGCCGTCGGCCTCCGTCATGCCGATGCCCTCCGAGTATACCGTCTGCGCCAGGCGGAAAGGCGGGCACGCGCCCGCGGACTGGCCCACCTGCACGACGGGCTTCAACGGGTGCTTGACGCCGGCGGTCGAGAACGTCGGGGTGAGCAGCTGGACCGTCGCCTCCATGGCCTCCTTGTAGCCGTCCGCCGCCACCGTGATGCGCGCGGTGAAGGGCACCGCGGCGACGGAGCTGGCCAGGCGCTCCGCCACCTCCTCGGAGCTGAAATGCTCCGGCGCCTTCTCGGCGTCGCCGGAGACGTCCCCGTAGACATCCACGACGGACTCGAGCGCCTTGAAGCAGACGGCCTGGACCTGGCCCGAGGCGTCTCGGAGACCGAGCCTGGCGCGCCACAGGTGGACACGCTCCGCAGCGGGGCACTGGCACGGCATCGTGCCCTCCTCGCGCCAGGCCTTCAGGCACGTGCCGCACCCGGGGTACGTCAGCTGCGAGCCGAACTCCAGGAACACGCTAGGCACCTCGAAGACGCGGTCGAGATCGCGGATCACCTTCGAGGCCATCAGACCCTCCAGCACCGACAAGGACATCGACGTCCCCTTGGCGGTGGCGTAATCCTTCCTCTCCCTGGACAGGCGCGCAGACCAGATCTTCGCGCCGGACAGGTCGGCCGGCGTGCTCGCGAGGGTGCCCGGAAGCGGCTCGGGGCAGCTCAGCACCCTCGTGCGCGCCGTGGCGCGGAGCTCCACCTGCGTCTTCGGGTCCTCGCCGGCCCTGGGCCACTGCTTCGCCACGCCCCAGAGGAACGTGAGGTCGCCCTTGCCAAGGCTCTTCAACATCGAGGCCGTCTCCCGCCAGAAATTCACACGAATCAAGTCCTCCGAGACGCGGAGCGCCAGGTGCGCCACCGGCACGTCGGTGTCGCCGTCGGGCGTCTCCACCTTCTGCACCTCGCCCGCCTCCACCACGCGGCCAGCGAGGCAGACCAGAGACCGGGGCGGCAGCAGCGGCAGCGACGAGATGGGCGTGACGGGGTGGTACCTCAAGAACTCTGGCTTGTCCTCGATGCGCTCCATGGTCGTGTCGCTCTGCGCCTTCAGAAACATGGGCGAGCGCGAGGTGCAGTGGAAGCGGGTCTTGTCGGTGTGCGCCACGACGAGGCCGCGCCTGATGCGCACCGTGTCCCCGACGCCCGCGCTGCCCTGCAGGCGCGCGCGCACGTCGGACTCCCACGCCTGGAACATCATGATGTCCGCCGGGCTCTTCCCCCCGCACAGCGTGATCTCCAGGACGGCGTCGGAGCGGGCACCCTTGCCCTTGCCCTTGCCCTTGCCCTTGCCCTTGCTTTTGCTGGCGCCGGTGGCGGCGACCTGGCTCGGAGCACCCTCGCCGGTCGCAGCGGCCGAGCCCAGGGAGCGGGACTCCACGAGGAGAATGCGCCCCACGACCGCGTCGTTGCGCAGCGGCCCGGGCGCGCGGATGTCGCGCGGGAGCTTGTCGCGGCCCTGCTGCTGCTGCGACTGCGAGCTGGTCGCCATGAGATACTGCGGGGAAGAACTCAGCACCTCGCTGGAAGGGCCGGAAGTGCCGCCACAAACTCGAACCCGAACAAGGCTTGAGCCACGACGGCGTCGACGCTTCCTCCTCCTCCTCCTCCTCCTCCTCCTCCTCCTCCTCCTCCTCCTCCTCCTTGCTCCGCGAGGCCTCCAGGAAGCCCCCATGGTACCCGATCAAGAATTACCCTCACGCATGCCCTCGTCGCCTCCCCAGGGGGCACCCGATAAGCATCCCGCGACACCCGAGTAAGGGGTCTCTGACCCGCGACCCAGGCGCCAGGCGCGGCGGCGAGGTGGGCCGAACGACACTGGTATAACGTGAGCAGCACCCTTCAGGGAACGAGGACGCTGCGACCTTACCCGGTGGCCCACGCAGTTAGCTTGCGAGGCGCGCGGCGCGGTGTTGAGACCGCGCGCGCGACAATCTTACGCGGGCGGCTCGAGAGCGATGGGTGCGCGGAGTGTTCCTTTTTCGGCAGGAGCGAGCGGCGCGGCCACTGGCGGGGTCTGCCGCGGGGCGGAGTCCCCCCGACCAGCGCCGGTCGCCCCGCGAGGGAGTCCCGGCGACTGGCGGGGGTCGTCCTCCAGAGCGGTCCAAGCCTCGCCGGGCGGAGCCCCCCCGACCAGCGCCGGTCGTCCCGCGAGGGAGTCCCGGCGACTGGCGGGGGTCGTCCCCTGACGCGGCCAGAGAAGAGCGTCTACCCGCAGACTCTCTTTGGGACGTGCAGCCACACAGCGCACGGCATCCGCTCCAGGGAGTCTACCGGGCCCCACTCGAGGGGCAGAGCCGGGAGAACCATCCGCCCCTGCTCCAGGTCCTCCCACTGCCGAACCTTGTCGGCGCGCAGCAGTGCGCACCAGGCAAGATGCGCGGCCTCAGCCGCTGCCTCGCGACCGCCGCGGCGGGCAGGCGGCTTGCGCGGAAGGCAGCGCGCCACCCCCTCGTCGAACGCGGAGCCCAGCTCGAACGCGATGATCCGGAGGTGCGTCTCGGAGCCGTCCCAGGGCCCCCCCTCGACGGTCGTCGCCTGCAACCGCTCCGACGCGCGCCCCCCCTTCAAGCGCCAGAGCGACTCGGCGACGCCCGGCTCCAGGTCGAAGGCGAACCACCCGAACTCGCGGAGCGCCTCCACGTGGCGCGAGGCCGCGCTCCGCAAGCAGGCCTGGAGGCAACCGTAGGGCATCAAGACGCGGTGGGTGCGCGACTCCCGGGTGCCGCGGCCGAGCCTGAAGAGCGGGTCGTTCTGCGAGGCCTGCTCCGCGACGGTGAAGCCCCGGAGCCCCTCCCAGAGATCCGCGACGTGCAGGAGCAAGTCGGCGTTGAAGGAGGCGCGCAAAGCCGCGACGCGAGCCACGCCCTGCGAGAGCCCCCCGTCACCGGCAGCCCCAGGAACCTCGCCCGCCGCGCTGCTCGCCGGCGCAGAGGCGGCGGCGGGCCCGCGCGCGTCTGCCTGAGCGACGGAGAAGACAGGGTCTCATGCGCGGCGGCGCTGCACCCTGCGCGGTGGCTCGCGCGGGCCAGTCAATTCCGCGGCGCACGGGGCAGCGGCGCGGCGCTCCGTGCGACCTTACGCGGGCAACTCGCGCGCCATGTCCGCGCGGTCGACCCAGTCCCAGACATTCGATGTCATGAACTTTTCGACGCGTGGCCCCCGGAAGTCCCCGGAGGTCTCGACAACTTCCCCGGGGCCGGTTTCTCGCCCTGAGTTGATTTTTGACGGTCCAAAAACCCGTTGAGGGCCTCCGGGACTGAAAGCAGCGAAAAACCGCCGTCACGAATTTTTCATGACGTCGGATCTCTGAGGTTTTCAGGCGTCGCTCACCTGGGCGGTAGCCTGCGCGTTCGCCAGCTCCTCCTCGGCTCGCAGCAGCTTGCCCTGGAGCTCGCGAAATGACTGTAGGTAGTCCAGCTCCGCGGACCGCCTGCGGTCAACGTCGGCGGTGAGCGTCGCTACCTGCGCCCGCAGCCCGCCCACCTCCGCCTGAAGCCGCTGCACCGCCTCGCCGTCGCCCGGAGGGGGCGCGGGCGGGCGCGCCGGCGCGGGCGCTGGCGCTGGCTGCAGGAACGCCGCCATCGGCGAAGGGCCCTTGTGCCTCGGGCACGCCGCGTTCTGCCTTCGAGGGAACGGGGGAAAGCGACGCCGCCATCACCAGGGCGTAAGGCCCAGGCGGATTCTCCCTCGTGGCGTTGCATTCGCCCCCCTCCCGTTCGAGACACCCTCGAGTTCCAGCCCGGAAAGGCATCGTGGACCTCCTCGTGGGAAGTGCCCCCCCCGCCCCCGCCCCATCCCCAAGTGGCGAGGGCGGCGTCGCTTCTTTCCCCTCGGACCTCCGCACCCACCGGCCAGTGAGGTTGATGCGGGGCGCCCCTGGACCCGGCGCGACGCGGCAGCGCTGCCTCGCCGGCAAGCTCGCGGCCCAGCTGGTGTCCCACTCGCAGCTCGGGATGGTCGCGTGCTGGAAGTCCCGCTGGAAACGCCCGGACATTAGAGCCAGCGTCCCCGACGCCAGGGCCACGGCGCCGCGGATGCCCCGCTCCTGCGCGCCGAGCACGTCGCTGGCCAGCGGGCCCCTCGGCTTGACCTGGAAAGCGAACAGGCCGTCGGCGCCGAGGGAGAGCGACACGATGTCCGCGGGGCTGCGGATCGCGTCGAAGAGGTCGTCGTCGTCGCTGTGCCAGGCGATGTGCCTGGTGGGCGAGAACCGCGACCACGACGACGACGACGACGACGACGACGGCAGCGGCGGCGGCGGCGTGCACCTCGAGCCCCCGAGGGCTGCTGTTCGGCGCCGGGCTCGCGGGGGGCCCGCGCGAGCCCGGCGCCGACGCTTCGAGAACTCCCAAAGTCTTCGGCCCTCCGACCTCGAACGATCTACGGCGACGACGGCGACGACGATGGCGTCGACGACGACGGCGCCAGCGACGACGACGGATGTGCCTGGCGGGGTCGTCGTAAACATTGACGACCCAGAGGTCTGGGACCTCCTCGCGCGACGCGAGCCCCATGGCCTCCATCAAGAAATCCTCGACCTTCCAAAAGAAACTGGCCGGGCCGTACGTGTGCGAGGAGTGCTTGGCGGTGCCTGCGGAGGAAGCGCGGGGGGCGACGGCAGCGATGGGGGGTGGGGGGGGGGGGGGCCGCGCGGGGACGCGCCCGGAGGAGCGAGGGGGGGTCGTTCAAGGCTGGCCTGCGTAGTCGTATTTGCAGATACACTTCTCGCGGAAGTACTGCGCCGTGCGGCACCTCCACGGCAACGGGTCGACGAACGTGGACGGCGTCTCCGGGCTGCGGCCGATGAAGACTGCGTCCCGATGCGCGATGCTCGCCAGCTCGTGGAACCACTGGCGCGCGACGTGGGCCTGGAGGAAGCCTGGCACCGAGAGCAGGCTGCTCTCGTACCCTGCTTGGCCCGCCGCCGTCTGCAGCCCCACTCCCGCCAGGGCGTCCTCGCACCCAGCATGCGCCCGCAGGCGCGCCGCCCAGGACCCCGACCCGCCGAGCGCCATGCCGCCCGGAGCCCCCCTCGACTCGCGCCGGTCGTCCCCGGAGGGAGTCCCAGCAACCAGCGAGGGTCGTCCTGGTGGAGGCGCCGGCGCCGCGCGGAGTCCCCGCGACTCGTTCCGAGCGAGAAACAGCGGGGCACCTCGCGCTCCTGATCCCGAATGGCGACGGAAGACTTCGGCGACGCTGGCGCCGTCTCGCGGGTTCTCGAGCCCCCCTCCGGGCCGTCTCTCAATCGCCTTGGATATTTCCTGGGGTGGCCTGTCCTCTCGACGCGATCTCGAAGCGATCTCGGCAGTCCACGCTGAGCAGGCGAGAATGTGGAAATCTCCCGACACCCGATATGTAAACGATGGCTCTGGACCCCAGGGCCGCCTCCCGAGCTTCCAAGATAATCCGCGGCGAGCGACGGGCGATCGCGGGGGGGGTGCCCACGCGCCGCCACGGCGAACGCGCCCCCCTCAGAGACCCAGGGAAATCCGGCAGCAGCTTTTTGCGGAAGACGCCCACGCTGGCAGCTCTTGGCAGAGCGCGCCGCGGAGTCCCCGCGACGCGCGCCGGTCGTCCCGGAGGAGTCCCGGCGACGCGCGCGGGTCGTCCGCGGCGCGGGGCAGAACAGAAGCAAGCGGCTCACAACGAGCCAGGCGCCGGACAGAGCAGCGCGCGAGCGCCCCGGCAACGCGCGGGGGGGCCGTCCGCGGCGCGCAGACGAAAAAGGCCGGCGGCCGATGACATGCGCAGCGCAGGAGTCCCCGCGACGCGCGCCGGTCGTCCCTGAGGAGTCCCGGCGACGCGCGCGGGTCGTCCGGCCCGCGGCGACGTCGGAGCCCGCGCGCCTCACTCAGGCCCCCGCAGCGCCGTGGTGCGGAAGCTGGAAGGCGGGTACCACGCCCCCCGGCGGTCGTCGAAGCACTCCCACAGGTGCCGGCCAGCCGCGCGGATGTCCTCGCCGATGGGGCCGCGGAAGGCAGGCTGCATCCGCTGCGCAACCTCCTCGGCCGAGTTGGGAGCAAGCCCCGCGACGTGGCCGGCCTCCCAGCGCGCGCCATTGAACAGCAGGAAGAGGACGCCGGGCTTCGAATCGCGACCGCGATGGCACTGGTACATGGGATACCCGTGCCAGGTCGCAGTCGTGGCCATGTAGACGTACCCGTACGACTCCGGCCCGATCATGAACGCGTCGCCGTCCAGAAAGAAACCCTCGCCCGCGGACGCCCGGTCGGCCGCGAAGGGGGCGATGGCAAGGGGGCCGACATCCACGAGCTCGGAGGGGATCTCGCACGGAGATGCCTGATCCCACTCGCGGCGCCCGCGGCTCACGCCGTAGTGCTGCTCAAACTCGAGGCGGGTGTAAGCCGCGCCGTCGGCGGCGCGCCGCCGCTCCGGCTCCGGGGACATCGCGGCGCCGAGCGCGGACATCACGCTGCCGACGACGACGACGACGACGACGACGACGACGACGACGACGACGACGACGGCGACGACGACGACGACGACGACGACGAC